ATAGGTATTAGCATTTTCTTAATACAAAATTAACACTAATACCAAAGCATTATATTATTTTTTTAACACTAATGCAAGAGTATTAAATGAATTATTTATTTTAATACCAAAGTATTAGAATTTTCTTAACACTAATGCTAAGCCACCACCCCTACATGGTCCAGTATTAAGCTCGTATATCGCCGTGACTGTATACGACGAGATACGGTCATATACAGAGAATTACGAAGTAAAACAGAGATCGTATACTAGAGCCCTGTGATTTCTAAAATTACCCGGCACCGAACCGGAACCGTCGGTTTCGATGCGGTTCCGGTTAGCAAAATTGAAAAAAGCGGTCCCTGAAATCTTTTCTAGGAACCGACGATTATACCGTATCATACAAAATACCGAGTAATTGAGTTTTTTTAGAAATTTCTACATTTTATCTTCGAGACTCTTCGTGTTTATTACTTCATCAAATAAGTAGCTACTTCACAAGGTAAAAGAAAAAGCCAAAGAATGAATTGAAACACTAACATACACTATGTTCATATGAAATATTTATACGTATTACAAGTTCTAAAAAAGAGCTACTTCATCATTTCGTTATCCTCTCCATGGTCATGATCACAAAGAACAATATCATCTTCATTATCGTTACTCATTCTAAACGTCTTTTTGTTGTTTTAGTAATAGATTGTTATTTAGTTTAGACAGGACATTGTAGAAGATGACTATTCAACTATCTTTCTTTTCGTTTCAGTTGTATCAACTTCATCAATTTTTTTCATCACATGATTTGAATAATGCCAAATTATTCTGAAAAAAATTACAATAGGGTTTTTTTCTGCACCAAGATCGATGCGTTTATCGATACTTGTGTTTTTTGCAGACGAGAAAAGTCCCTCTGCAATGGTGTTCGATGTTTGTACAGCATAAAAATCTTGAGCTATAGAAAATAAGATCGATAATTTTAAATTCTGTTGTCGTGGAATTATAAAACATCATCATGTCCACTGAATGGGACATTTGATGGCATATATTCATCTAATTCATACGGTGTTATTGACAATGTTAAGATATTTTGTGGTATATCAAAACAGTATGAAAGAGAACCTTTTGACGTTGTCGATTGAGAATCAAGTGAATTTGTATGAACAGGTGGTGGATTAGTAGTTGTACATATAGTGGATAGTATTGTTGGTTGCCGTTTAATAATTTCCGCTTTAACTAACTTAAGAGGTTTTTCTTGAAAACCAGGATTACTACGAAAACTTTTCATGGATAAATGAAGAAAGGTGCTGATATAATGTGCATCTTGCAACATCTACACATCTTGAAACTCACCCTCAAGGAAAATTTCAGTTCCTAACGGTTCCGGATAAGAGAAACAGAAAAATCCGGTTCTTGGTTCGGTTCTCGGTTCCATTTTTTTTGGAATCGCAGGGCTCTATCGTATACGAACTCCGTATATGTGCAGCGTGAACGATTGTATTTTACTCTGTATATCGCCGTATTTCTCCATATACGATCGTTTACGAGCGTGCTTGTTTGACCTGGGCAAATACCTTTGACGGAGTAGTATATTAGCCAGATAGCAAACATAGTTGCTTCGGTATGTTTCATTGACGTTAAAAACATTTCAAAAACTTTTTATATCAATTTTGTTCTCGTTGCAATGAATGTAAAATCGTTTTAGACCAGAATCGCAGCATCCTGATGATCCATTTTTTGTCATAAATTTCTATATCATCATGTTGTGACATGATACCAGACAAAATTAATTCGATAATATCGATTTTGTAAGCTTTTGGAATATCAATGCAACTCATATTCTTCGGAATATTTGAAAAATTTAGTTGCACATAATATTGTTGTTTTGTTTAGAAAGGCAAAAAGAAATTGAGATATATTATTGTGATTCAACGAAGGGCCAGGAAGTGTTTCTTGAAAAATTAGTCAAAATTGAGCTTTTTTTACAGCGAAAGCCAATGAATTATATCGTAAAATGTGTTCTAGAGGTTATTAATAGTGAATTAACCTGTTAAGTTTTCATAAACCGACGATGAATCAAACAATATATGTCTTTGAAATATAGCACATCAGACGCATTAAAAAAGATGAAACTAGATATTTATCAATTAAGTCCACCTTCCTCATCAGAAATCTACTTTTGCATCAGAACGATCGATTTTATTGAAACTTTTCAGAAATATGTGCCTAGGAATTGGTAGCTTACACTAAAAATATAAGCGCAAAATAATAAATTATCCTAGAGTTATCTTAAAATCGTCCTTTCGGTCCAGAATTCTCCTTCATTTTTAATGATAAAGATATCAGATTTGCGTCAAAATGTAGTCAACCATAGTCGCTATAACTTAACAGAGAGGAGTGTTTGAAAAGTTCGTTTGTTTATTTTTTCTAGAAGTTTCTTTGCAAAAAAAGTCCGAAAAACTAGAACCAACCCATCTGAACATTCTTGTCATTCTCAAACATAAAAACAAAAATAAAAAATCCAGGCCTGTCGGATTTTAATGGTTACTATTGGGTACATTTTGATACCATTCCGAGCTTTCTAGTATTTAAAATGACTGAGAAATCGGAAGCGAACAAAGAAATACTAACGGAAAAACCATTTCGAAAATAACGCAAAGCAAGTTTTAAAAAAAGTCATTTGTTCTAATTTCCACAAATTCAAACTTTCCACGAAATTCTCAGAAAGCATCGTAAAACTGATAAACTATAGTACATTTGCAAATCAACAAAGTGGTCTGTTCAACCCTGTATAAAGCTCAAAATCGACGTTTTTTTCGAAAACTGACTTTTTCTGACAAAGTGTGGGGAGACAAAAGGGTAATTTAACAGATAGGGTGTGGTTATGAGTGTGAGTGTTGAAAAGAAGAACATCTGCAATCACACCCGCACTCACACTCTTTTTGAACTATTTATGGGTATATAATTAAGAGAATCTGCAATGAATGATCACATGCTGTTTTAAGAGTGACTATATAAATCCAGTATTGAAAAGTATTGACTAGTATGATATTTGTTTTCTAGGTCGCTCCATTACGAGTCATTGTAGTTGTTCTCTTATTTGGCATTTTGTTAAATATATTGCTTTTATTGCTATTGATTATCCGCTACTTCTATTATTGATTCAACCATTATTTAGTCGTCTGGTTTTTGATTCAAGGTTTGTTTTTTTTAAATCCTTATATTACTAGCATTTGAATGATAAAATGTCATGATCTCTAGTACTGAAGTTTTGAAAATAACTAATGAACATGTTAGAATTATGTCTGCAATTGCTAAATCATGCTATTGTAAAATGTATTGTTAGAAATCAGCATTCGAAGCAAAAATTCTTCATATAAGAACGTAAGTATATCATTTTAATATTCCTGGCATCTGAAAACAAATATCGAAGTATTATTTAGACGTGAAACAATTAAACCTACTCTATTTATGATGTATGCTAGTATTGAAATAGTCTTATCATATAGTTATATTAGTATAATATTTTTAACGATGTATGGAACAGTGTGGACATTTGATATGGAGTTCAATATACGTGTTTTTACTCTCTCATATGTACTAATGAGTTATGCACGTCAATCTTGTACTAATTATTTTAACTTTGCTATTCGTGATCTTCTTAATTATATGGCTGCTTAAAAACGAATTCGAATTTGTTTGAATAGAGAATTTTTGTTTATTTTTCATTATCATATTTGAAATGAAAATTTTCTATAGGCACTTCTTTTATTTGATGAATCTGAACGAGACAATCCATTGGTATCAACATCTTTAAGGGTGGGTGTGGGTGTATGAGTGTGGATGTGGGTGGGATGTGAGTGTGATTGTGGATGTGGGGTGTGAGTGGGGTGTGGGTTCGGGTATGTTCTTTATTAACTCCCACACTCAACACCCACATCCACACCGACAACTACATCCAAACCCACCCCATACCCACACTCATCATAGCCACATCCACAATCACACCCCACCCGCCCCACATCTACACTCACAAAAATATTTTAACAAAAACGTCATATTATAGTGCAATGAAATTCTGTCAGAATACTCTATTAGTTCTTTTACAACAATAACCAACTTGATAGGTTTGAACGACATTGAACAACTTTTCTTTAATTGCTATTCTACTTACAAAGAACTGCATAAATGTGGTGTGGAGCGGTCTCAATTTTCGGCAACGAGATTTCGATTAACATAAGAGCGATAAACAATTTCATACAGACTTGGTTCTGTTTTGTCGAAGGTTTTCATTATCGCATCTTTAATTATTTCAGGTCAAATGTGGAGACTATATCGCTGCTTTGCAAAAATTATTGAAACTCATATTAAAGATTCAACAACGTTTGTATCATCTCGATGTATGGATCTTTCTGACATATCCTTTAGAGCACGTCGTGACAAAATCCAGATTTTGTTACAACAAAACTTACGCGAAGTGTAACGACCGAATGTATACGTGATCGATTATAAAACTGTTCTGCTTTGCAATTTAAATTAGGAAAAATTCATTTAATAAGATTTTTTTTAAGATACTTAAATAATCTTTTATATTTAACATCTAGTTACTATTTAATACAATGAGATTTAAAAATATTTCAAACTTTCCTATGACTATTTTATGACGTAGTTATTTAAAAAATCTGTTATTCTTGCAGTAATATGTTGTACTAAGTATATGTTGATATATTTAAAACCTTAAATAATAAGATTATCGGTTTTGAATGTATCTTGACTTTTTTCTTAATGACTCAATTCAATTTTATAATTAGATGATCAATCAACTAATTGATTTCAATATAGTTCATAATCGTGAATAACCAAAATTAGCTTGAATTATTCATTAATCACGGTCACGTAACCAACTTCATTATCTTCATCAACATTTTTTCCTTGAATGCTTGTTTTTCAAGGATAGATAGGACATCTAGCGTAATGCATATCAATGTTATATAGTTGTCAAATATAATCAATAATTGAATCCTACAATAACTCTTTGAATAAATATTCTCAAGTTAGAAAGTAATTTAACACCGTTTTTCTAGTAGAAAAGAGGTCGTTGATACAGGACAGAAAATATATATGATTCATATCATTTACACTACTTTTTGCTTCATTTCATATTTTATTATCAGCACACCTTTTTTTCATTTCTCTGCAGAAGTTTGTGAATCATGTTGTCCTTGAAATCAATAAATAATGTAACGTTCTAAGCACATATTTAGAAAAACACATGTCATCAGAATCAACTATTGATATTCAGCATGATGCTTATCAAGAATTATATTCACAACATCACACTAGTAGACGAGAACATCAAGGAACACTAATTGAATCATTACAACATTTAAATACTGATGTACAACATGCTTTATCTAAAGATAAACATGAATTTGAAAATGCAAAAGAAACTTATCATCAACAATATAATATATTAAAACGTACATTTACTCATGCAGCTTCAGAACATGAAGCACAATCTGTATTACCTCTAAAACAAATTTATCATCGACGAAAAGATTTAGCTGAAAAAGTTCTTGAACTTCTCAATGAAACAACACTTGAAGCAGCTCCTGTTGAAATGCGTACATATTGGAATGGATCTATTGCAGTTGTATATAATCCAATTACTGGTCGTGCTGAATGGAAACAATATTGGCATGGTGGAATACATGGTTTATTCAATCCTATAACAGGTATTATTGAATGGGAACAAGCATTTCATACGGGTGTCTATGGAGTTTTTAATCCTCAATTAAAGACAATTGAATGGAAGAAAAATTTTAATGGTGGTATACACGGAGTTTATAATCCATGGACAGGTATCGTCGAATGGAAATCAGAATTTCATGCTGGCGTTGGTGGTGTATATAATCCTTTAACAAAACAAGTCGAATGGAAAACATGTTGGCATGGTGGTGTTGTCGGATATTTTGATTATGAAACACAGAATGTTAAATGGACAGAAAAATGGAGACATGGTATCGCTCTTATTTCATGGGATACAGATGCAAATACTTATTTGACAACTGCTAGTTGTGGTTGGTACGATAATGATTGATTAGAAAACTGATTTTCGGATCTTTGTTTTTTGTTAAATAAAGTTTTTTCTGAATGATTGTTGAACTAGCTGAAATGTCCAAGACGATTAATGTTATGTATTTAGTTTTTCTCATTATTATACTTGATTGATCAATAATTCGTGTAATATATACAATCATACTTCATGATAGTTAAAGTATAAGAGATATTATTTGTTGAAAATTTTACGCCTTAATAATTGATGTATGATGTCTTCTAATCCATATAAATCAATCATTGTTTTTTATGAATATTATAGTCAACTTATTCTCGATGAAAAAAAAACTATACGTTTGTTTTTTTTTGTGTTCACAAATCTAAAAATTTTTTTTGAAGTATAAATTCAAAATATTTATTTCCATTGATTTAAAATGAAAAAAAAAACAATCTTAACTAAATTTAATTTACTAGTGCATGTCTTTCATCCTTATTTTTTTTTTCTTTTGATTTAAAACTAATTCTTTTGTTTTTATATGCTTTTATTGAATTTATTCGTCGTCTTTGATTCTCTGAATACACAATTGCTGCCTAAATGGCTAGAGAAGAAAAAAGAAAAAGAATATATGTAAACGTATACTGGCTAGACGAGACTGTACAAATTCTCCTTTCATATTTCTTTTCTAATTGCGTCTATTCATTCATCTATATTAAACGTTTCGTATCGGTTTGTTCATACATCATCGCATCAGTTAAATTCGCTCAAGAAGAAAAAACAAGTAAAATATTCCATCTGTTTTCGATATTCATTGGTTTTTTTTTTTCTTATTCAAACCATTCCTTTGTTTATATCTTTAGTCAAATATATAAACCATTGTCTGTATTATTTTTAAAATAAAATAATGTCATCAAATCTTAATAAAAAACTTTTATTTTCTAATTTATCATATAAAACAACTGAACAAACATTAATGAATTATTTCTCAACATATGGTTGTTTAGAAGAATTACATCTATATAAAGATGATCAAGATCAATCATTACGTAAAGGTTTTATTATTTATAAAGAAATAAATTCTATGAATAATTTAATGTTAAAACGACCACATTTTATTGATAATAGACAAATTCATATTCAACGTGCAATACCAAATCAATGTCGAAATACAACTAATATATCAGAATATTTAGGAATAAATTTAACAGTTCATGAAATATTTATTAGTCGTTTATGTTCAGGTGAAAAACGTGAAATGTTTATAAATTATTTTCAATCATATGGAAATATAATTGATTGTCGAGTAATTAATTCATATTCACAAAATTCTAAACAAACAGGTTATGCATTTGTACGTTTTGCTGATTATGATAGTGTTGGTATGAAAATTTAACAAAAGAAATAAAAAAAAGAAAATCAAATTTTTTGTTTTTCTCAAATTTAGATCAAATTATTCTTTCACGACCACATGTTATTAATTCAAAATTTTATCATGTACGAAAATGTATACCAAGAGAATATAATTATATTATATCATCAATTAAACCATTAAGTCAAAATAAACCAATGTGGCGTCATTTTTCATTTGGTTTAATTAATATGAAAACACATGAAATAATTTATCCATCTGTACCAACATTTCGGTAAGTTGAGATTTAGTTTACCAAAAAAATAAAATTTAATTTTTTTTTTACGCATAATTCTAGTAAACAAGAATCTCCATCAAATGATTTTACAATAATTGATTCACCTATAGTTACTGTTGCAATTGATAGAACACCAACAAATAAAAAATCAACAAATGACTTTGAATTAATTGCATCAAAATCTTTATCATCAAGTAGTATATCACTTGTTAATTCAACAACAGATGATTTTACACCATTAGCATCACCACTTTATTCAACAGCTATTGCATATTCTTCACCAACAACAATCGATAATGAAGATAGAAAAATTTATGATCTTATTTAAGTTGAAGATTTTCTTTTCTTTTTTTTTTTCTTGTATATGTGATGAATATTTATATGGTATCTGTATATATACGATTGCCTTTATTCTCTATATATTTGAAATTTAAACAATATCTTATTATTGTCTTTTCATAAGAATTGTTTTTCTTTCATTAAAGGTTAATGTATATCTGTATTTGTTTAACAATAAATAGTACATGATACCTTTCTTTAGCATTCTTATAATTGATACTTCACTATGAATACAAATGTATATTGTAACTAATAATTTCTTCAGAGAAAAATATATACTTTCAGTTTTATTTAAGTGAGAATGTATGATCAAAGCGAAAAAATTCATCTCTTTTCTTAAGAGAATGTATGTTACAATCATGTTTCTGTAGTCACGATGAAGCACTAGCTACAGGATTTCTCTCTTTCTTTTTAGTTTCGTTGTATCATTGGGATTGGTTCATTTAAACAGCAATCACCTATAAGGTTATTACGCAGTTTTTACGTAAATAAACATCAGTTATTAATTGAAACCGATAATATTTGATATATTTCGTACGTTGATATAAGATGGAAGAAGTTTGCAATTGCGAGTGTCATCATAATCCAAATATTCGACATATTATGGCATGTTGTAAAGTTTGTCCAAAATGTCAACAACATATTGTTCATTATCAATACGAAACACATGTGCAAAAATGTCATTAGACATATTTTTGAAAAAAAACTTGACTGTTATTATGCATGATATTGATATTATGTTTTTTTATTGAAATAAATTATCTTTTTCTTGATTTTTATTCGATTCAATGATGTTTACAGTAAATTGTAATAGTTTTGTAGTGATTTACTGGCGTGACACTTATCCCAGTAAAAGTCAGTCGACTATGGAGATGAAAAATGTAAATTTGTTTTCTTTTTAGCGTTTTCTCATGTTTATAGTATTGTTTTGCCTGCATACAACAAGAAATCTACTTATCATGTATTATGTTTTTGAAAAATAAAACATTGCGGGACATGATATATGGTTAGTCACTTGCCAAGGAGACTGTTTTTGGATTGAAATTAAGATCATGTCAGAATTTAAAATGTACGAGACCATAAGAAAAAAAATTAGTCCACATTCGAACACAAATTTATAGTAAAATATTTTATGATTCTAAGGAAATTACCTTTCGAATTATATGAATCGGAATATATTTCAAGAAATATAACCCAAAAAAAAGGTATTCCTCTACATCTCTAATTTGAATCGTAAGTCTTCGTTTTGTTTTATTATATGGTATTCATTAGTTTTAATAAAGGTTTTAGAATGGTGATCGAATTAATAATTAGTTCATATAGAAAATCAAATAATTCTACAAAAACTATTTTTCATATTACTCACTACGAGTGAGTCAAAAATGACTCAAGTTTTTATGAAAAATGCTATTAACATATGTATAAACAAGAAATTTTTAAAAACTAATTTGCAAATAAAATATGATATTGAGTTTCAGTTTATCATTAGTGCTTTAAGGCTGGATTCAATTTAGATTTTTGTTTTTCACAACCCGTGTACAATGTCATTGATAACAAGTGATGTATTTCATCCTTTCTTGTATCTCTTTCATACTGATTGATTGTAAAATGTCTACATTACAGAAGACATTAGAAATCAGAAAAATCAAAATTTTTACTTTGTCCTATAAGATAAATAAAAATATATACTTCAATAAACGTTGCATGCCGTACTTAAATAGATAATATTCTTGAATCACGTTCTTATTATGATAGAATAATAATTATAAATTACTTGATAATCATATGGTTGTCTATCAATTACATGCAACAATATTTATGATCTCATCACAATTTCAAGTACTCGACCTATTGGTTTTATTCAACTGTAATTCTCGCGACTGACGTGATGTCAATTTAAAAACATTACCAACAATGGCATTTATTCAAACCTACAAAGTGTATGTGAGTACTGAATTAATTACTTCTAATGAAGTATGTAACTTTGATGTCACTTGTTGAACAAAATGTCGTTGTCAGACAATAAAAATACAATGTGGTACCCAATCTCATTCATCAAGCATGAAAACATGTTCAAATATCTAGTGTAATCTTCGTATTTTTATAAGATAAAAATAATAAAGTTTGTAATTACTATATATTCAAGTACGTTTTGAATTATCTTATAGAAAAAAAAAAACTAAAAGTTCAAACTTCTTCTGCGACATATATTTTTTTTTTCAATTTGAGAAACTTGCTAAAACAGCCTATGATATTCCAATTTAAATTGTATTTTATTTATGAAGTAAAACTTCTACTTTCAAGCAAAACTATTCGTTAATCTTAAACATAGAATATTTTCTTTTCTTATAGTAATATGTCATGTCATGATCTCATGTTATTTTCACTCTATAGAAAAAAAAAAGATTTATATTACTAGCTTATTTTTTTTAATCTGCTTGAAAAAGAAAAAACAAAGATTAATAATATCATAAAGAAAAAAAAATTAGCATGTACGCTTGAATAAAAATCAATGAATTCATTTGTCATGATCAATAAGATTAGAATCATAATTTGATTCTAGAAAAATACTAAAAAGATTTGTATTTTTAAATATAAAAATGTTTTATATAAAACATATTATTTATTAAAAATGGTTTATTTTTTCTTTTTTTTAACAAAAGAAAAATCATTAAAAATTAGTTTATCTTTATGTGAATATGATTGACAGTTGCTAGTCTACTAATATAAATGCATCTATAATTATTCATTCGTTTCTAATCCAATAAAACTAGTAATGAATTTAGTTTAAAATTTTTTACTATATATAATTATGCATGTAAAATTATTGGTTAGTATAGCATTTCCTCTTATTGTTAGCTAGTTTAAAATGTCAAAGAAATTTTCTAATAATAGTAAAACTTGTTGAATTAACATAGTTATCAATTGAATAGATCTTCAATTAATTATCGACGAATTGGAAAGAAATATTATGTAATCGTTCAATAAAATATTTATTAATTTGTTTTCATTTTAGAATAATAGACAATATTTCGTAGTAGATTGTTTAATAAATAATTTATATTCTATTCATATAGACATATATTGCTTTTTTTTTCTATCGATTATCGGATGTGCATACAAAACATATGAGAGAGTAACAAAGGGTAAATAACAATGACACATCGATTAATGATTAGAGTAAGAAAAAGACAGAGAATTATTGATAGAAGAATTGTTCTATAATTTCTATCTTTTTTCTTCCAGTTAAGCTTAAGGGTCATTTCCAGGCATTCTTTTTTCTCACAGTTTTTTTTCTTTTTCGAATCGATCTATCATCAAATTGATGGTGCTGAACATAACTCTTTTTTTTTTCTTTCGTGTTGACACTATAAAGAAAAAAACAGGAATAGCGATCCGCCTCCCTCTTTTTTTTCCACATTTTTCCTCTCTATTCTTATTCATTCCCGGCGGCAAGATAGGAGCGAGAACAACAACTAGCGCTATATATTAGTATGCGGAAGACGTTTTTTCTTCTGTTGCATGTCACTATTATTATGTGCTCAGGTTAAACAGACGCAAGCATCATTACAAATACTCGACTAAAGCACAAAAAGAAACCAAAAAAAAAATGGTATGTATCTTAATTCTTAATGTTTTTCTTTTTGGAAATAAGTAAAAAATCTCTTGATACAATTAAACTGATTGATTATGATTATTAACTCTATTCTACCATTCATATGAATTGTAAGTGTATGATATAGATAAAAATTTGGATAATGCCATGAAAAAGTGTTTTTTTTTTTGTCATACTTTAAGTGATAATTCAATATGGATGCTCATAAAAAAGTTTACAACTGATTACATTCATTAGTTAAAAAAAAAAAGATGACAGATGTTTAACAGTATCATTATTTGTCACTGATGAAGGAAAATCGTTATCTATGAGAATATTTGTTCAGTAGTATTCATATAAGTTATCAACATTAAAAGTTTTACTAAAAAAATTTAGAGTCTGGATTCGCTTCGAAATTACTATGGTGTTCTAATTGTTTTGATAACACTTATAAGTCGAATTATATTCATTGGATTTTCTTGGAGTTATGGAACAGTTATTGTTGAATTTAAAAAACACAATTCAACATTATCCGATGCAGAAATGAGTATGTAGTTTATTTGATTTTCTTTTTTTTATTAAAAAAAAAAAGCAAACGAACAAATAAATAAATAAAATTTGATTCAGGTTGGATTGGTAGTATTGGTCAAAGTTTTGGTGGTATTCTTGCACCATTAATACTTCTTTTTTCTCGTCGATGTGGATTTCAAATAACATTTGGTGTATCACTTTTTGTTTGTGTTATTTCTTTATTTATTTCATCAATTGTTCGAAATCTTCATTGGCTTTTATTAACCTATTCACTTCCATATGGTTTTGGTAATGCAGCTATTTTTATTCTTGGTACATTACTTTGTGGTCTTTATTATCCAGCTGGACAACATCCAAAACATGTACTTGTTATGTGTATTATTTCAACTGGATTTCCAATAGGTTATCATATAATGGATGCATTAATATTTTCTTCAATTAGAGAAAATGGTTGGCAAGTAATGAAAAGAAATATTGCAATAATTGAATTAGTAGCAACTTGTTTACTTACTCCATTTTTTACTACAAAATTTTTACCAAGTACATCACAACCATATCCATATCCATCAACAGCGTTCATTACAGATACTAAACGAAAAATTTATTATTCAAAACCGGTTATTTATTGGATGTTAGGCATATTTTCAGCTATGTGTGCTGTGAATAATTTTATTCTTCACTTCGTATGTTTTAATTAAAAAAAAGAAAAAAAAGAGTGCTTGAGAAGCATCATAGAGAGAAAGAAAAAAGAATTCAGGCAATTCTATTAATTATCTATCTTGCAATATTAATTCACACACTATTGTAGCAATAAACAATGAGAGTTCATCTATTGAATGAAAAATATATGAATATTTCATTTTTGAAATTTAATCGAATATTTATAAAATAATTTAATTATAAAATAAAATTTTTCAATTCTTTTTTATTATTCTTTAGCATAGTTATTTGGAACATCTACTTATGCCACCAGCACGTGTTGATCTTTGGTTTCGTTTACTTGGATTATTTGATGCATTATTTCGTCTTATAATACCATTTATTGTTCGTTGTTATCCTATTGATATTATTTATTTATTTCCAACAAGTGCTTTTACTGGTATTATTGTTTTAATATTAACATTTGGTTTACTCTATACTAGCTTTAGTGTCATAGCAATTTTACCAATTATATGTAAGTAAATTATAGAAGACTGGATTATGAATTTATTGAGTATATGTATATATATATATATTTATAGTATTTGGTTTTACACCCGCTGTTGTTACAGCACTTCAATATACAGTTTCAAATCGAATCTTTGAGGAAGATAGAACAGAACAAGGTTATGTATATCATGTTATTGTTACGAGTCTTGGAACAATGGTAGGTCCTGTTGTTGGAGGTATGAATGTCTATTAAGTGACAATTGTGAAAGAAGAAAAAGAACAAAAAAAAGAATATATTTTATTTTTAGGTTTATTTCTTGACATGACAAGTTATAAATCAATCATTCCAATATCAATTTTTTTTCTTTTCATTAGTTGTATATCATTTACTGCAACAATTTTATTATTGAATAAGAAAAAAGCTGATGAACTTGAAGAAAGTCAAACAGCTTCGCTTCATCAACATGATAATATTGCTTATGGTTCATCGAATTAATTAAAAATAAGAGAAAGATCAATAAATTTAATTATTGAAATTAAAGAGAAATCAAGTTCAAAAATTATAACTTGAGACAATATATTTTTTAAAAAAAAGTACTATTATCGACAACAAAATATAAGACAGGTTAATGTTTTCCGATTGAGACTTGTGATTTTCACTATTCAAAAGATAACATCAGACATTATAATATTAGGTTAAAATGATCTAAAACTATTCGATTAAGATTTTCAAAATCTAATATTTTCATTCTACACTATGAAGAATTGGTATTTCAAAAATCTTGATATAATAGTTATAGATTATTTTTGAAATGGAAAACTAACATTATGCCATTCGATTCAGTATGGTGAAGTAATTTGTAACTTGTGAACAGAACCTGTTAGATGTGTGAGCTTCGCGCATATCGAAAGAGAAGAGTTTTTTTTTTCTATGAAAGATTGAAGTTCAACTGGAAAGTTTTCTTGAAAATTCATCTCATTGTTTAGTTGATGGATTAAATACCAATAAACTGATTTTATGCTGCCCGATGTTGTCTTTTCAATAATGAAAACTACAAGTCTCTATCTTGTTCCTATCAAAAGTCATTCAATAAATATTAATATTGCCTTTTATTTTGACATCGATAATAATAAAATATTTATGTAATTATGTATGTTTGTGTTTATAGAAAACCAAGTCTTTTTTTTTTTTTGTTGTTTTACTGTCTTTATTGTTGTTTTAATTAATTAGTTTTCGATTCTTATTCTTAATATTTTGTTGTGCAAGTATTTGTGCATTTCGATTTGGTTCACTTGTTTGAAGAAAATGATCGTAACCATCACCATTACCTTCTTGCAATTCATATAAAAATTTATCCATAATAAGGTTCATTTTATTTCGTTGTTCATTAGGTGATTCAATAAAACTATTAATTGAATTTCGTTGTTCAATAGGTAATTCAATAAATCTATTAATTGAATTTCGGTGATTTTCCATATGTTTTTCAAAATTTGATTGTCTTGAATTTGAATTTGATATCATATGTGTCCAAGTATTACTATTTTTTTTTAATGGTGCTTTCAATTTTGGTAATAAACATCCATAAACTTTTCGTTTTCTATCATTAGAATGAGTTTTTAAATGAAATAGATCATTTGACCTATCAGATGAAAATAAATTATTTATATCATTATCGAGAATATGTTGTAAACGAGCACGTTCTGTTATAACTGTATGTGATCGATAATGTATTCGTCGTCGAGTTTCTTTACTAATTTGTTCCGATTGACGACGTAATTCTGAATCACGAGCTGATTGTTGATTATCATAAGAACGAACAAGTTGATCAAGACGACTACGTTGACGTTCATATTCAGCAAAGAGTGAACGTTGAGAACGGGATACAGTATCGATCCTAGATAAGAAAAAATTCATTATTTGGATTTTTCTCACGCAAAAATGAATAGATCACATGATATTGAAGTGATTATGCTGAATGGTTTTCTTTTTTTGTTGTGGAAAAGGAGACGATAGAAAGTCTTCTATATGAATAAATGTTTGAATGATATGCCTCAGTAGAATAGATTTAATCCCTTTTATGAAATTTATTAAAGCTTACCAGTGTTTTTCATCTCATTTTTGTCAAGAGTTTTATAATATAGCTGATTTAAGTATTATTCTTTCAATCTGATTTTTAAAGCATATTTATTATTATGAGAAAAGTACTGTTAATAATAAAAATTGACAATAGAAAATATGTTGATTTTATTGCGAATGAGTTTTATGCATGTTCTTCTAATAGCTCCTAGATTATACTTTTTATCTTAGATACATATAAATGAAGGTAGGACGTGGGATGATTAATTGAATATTATTCTTTGAATAGATATAAAACTGAAAAAAAAAAAATGATGATCGAAAATATACAGAAAAAAGTATATAATAAAATTTTGAAGAAAACAAAAATAACTATTAATAGAGTGTCAAGAGTATCTCTTGCTTACACATTATTTATTTTAGTATTTATTTGGTTCAGTATTATATTTTCAATTTTTAATAATATTCACCCAGTGTAAATGTCTGTTCGAAAATTGTATACGAAACATTCTTTCACCACGTAATAGAAATTTACTAGAAGTATAACAGTCCTTCTTTCAGATGTAATATCTACATTACTATTGTGACTATCGACAACCTATTGTGATTTTATTAAGAAACTAAATATGTAAAAACTGTACAGTCTAATATTAGATCGCAAACTCGATTCGTACTTATGGGTTGGATATTTTTTTTATTGCGTGATTAGTCGCTATAATTTGTTTCTTTCGTCATATGATCAGAGGTGATACTTTCGGAACTCTTCACACTCTTCTTAATTATTCACGTAATTTTCATACGGTTTTTATTGTTTTGTCTGTGCAGAAAAAGTAAACAAGACAGCTGCAATAAATTTTTAAGAGAAAAAAACTTTCTGAAAACATAAAAAAAACTTTTTATTTATTTAAAACCGAATAAATCAACATTATTGAAGAATTGGTTCAATTTTTAGTTGATTCATAAATGAGTCTTTGTTAATGACGTGTCATTGTATGTTTTTGCTGTGCATCAAAATTCGATGAATGGTATATAGATTAAAAAAACCTGTTAATGCAACTCCTACGGGATTAAAATATGAAATATGATGTAGTTGCTATTGCTAATCATATAAACATTGTTTTATAATATCTATTTTAGGGCACATTTTTTCATCATACTTTTACTTAATCCTCTTGAGATGCAATAAGAAGTAGTTCATATATTATAATGAGATGTTCCTCATATACGGTCCTAGGTCGTATATCAACAACGTCTGCCATAATTTATAGTGAGGAAGAGAAGGGTCGCAAATTTCTATCATATATACTTCAACATTTTGTTTAGATTATGTTTTATAAAATATTAAAGTTGAATAGATCATATAGATGAACAAATATGATTGATATATATTGATAGTTAACGAAAAAAAAATCTTGTGAAAATAAAAAGCAATTTTTTTTTCAATATGAAGCTTGTTTCAAAATTGAATTTATTTGTCTATTATATGAACGCTTGTGTATTTTGAAATGGGATGCTTTTATGTATTACAATAATAAACAAAAAAATAAGGAAATACATAGAGAAGAATAGCTAGTTAACTCACTGTCTATGTAGATCATTGGGATCGACAGCAGTGTCACCCATTCGATGATTTGTTTGTAACAAAAAAGAAAAAAAAAAAAGTACTCTTAAAAAGGCTTACATGAAAATTATTCTATTTTCGTCTCCTTAAAATTTGCATATTTTTAATTATTAGAATCTGTTTGCTATGAAAAAGAAAGCCTACATATAATATAGGAATATATAATAGACATTGTCTTAGTATGGTTGTTCTTAGTGAGGCATCTTGTCGTTACTGTTGCTGAAAATGATATGGCTGTGAATAAAATCGTTGTTGTTGTTGTTGTTGCTGTTGTTGTTGCTGAAAATGTTGTTGTTGCTGTTGAAAACGTGCTTGTTGTTGTTGTTGTTGTAGATTTGCTTGATAAGCGTGTTGCTGATAAACTTCACCAACCAATTGTATAACTTGTCCTTCGTTCATAATATATCGTTGACCATTAATTGTAACCGCAAAAAGTGATGGATCTTGAGCACCATTCATTGATCCATTTACAGTGGCATGAGTAGGTTCATTTTCATCCATTGTTTCGATTAAAACTCCTTGAGCAGACATCATTGGATAATATTGTTGAAAGAATTGTGGATGATGCATATAATAATGTGGATGATGCTGTGCATATACATAACCGTTGGGATATCGCTGTTGTTGTTGCAAATAGGCAGCAGCTGCAGCAGCAGGCATGGCAAAAACAGTTGGACGAAAATGTGCTTGGCTAAAAAAGAATCGATTATTGCGTTCTTGTGGATGAGTATCATGATTTGTATCTGATTGTGATTTTCGAAGTAATGGTGGATCATCAGGTTCTTCGACAATTGGCTTTGTTGATGATGAATCTGTTGTATCATGAGCTTCATTATGATCATTGTGAACTTCTACTATTCTAGGTTGTTGATCAGATGATTCGAGTTTTGCTGTATTTTCATCATCATCAGCTGAATTTCTTTCTTTATTTGGATCTAAAAATAGGATTATATTTAGAATAAAAAAAATTTGAATGTTTAAAATAAACTTTAATACTAACTGATTAGTCGTTGTAATGCATAGTAAAGTACTTCTCCTCCGTTTGGTGCGCGTCTAAGAAAATCATGTTTGGTAAGCAACACAAGAGCTTGACCTTAACATTAATATAATAAAAACAAAAAACAAAGATAATAATAATTACATAATTTTAATTATATTTCATTTACCATTCATTTCGAACTGTTCAGCTGTATTCTTTTTTAATTCGAATTTTTTACATTGGTGTTTGATCCAATGTTGTACTTCAGCTGATGACCATTTTGTTGCATCTCTGGTGGTTGGTTTTGTAGAATTTTTATTTATATCTTCGGCAGAAAACGAAGTCGTAATTATTTTTTTATTTCCATTACCCATCGACGTGGTGTTGGAAGTAGCAGCGTTTGTTGTCGTGTTCGTCATTGAATCGTCGTTTTTCTATTCGCTTACACAGTTCGACATTGACGCAGTAACGAATTGGCGACAAATACTTAAAATAACCTGTAATATATGTTGTTTGTAGTCGACGGCTCATCATCATAACGTGAAAGATGGAGAAAGAGGGAGAGAGCGCAAAAGAAAAAAAATACTAGAATATACAGATTGTTTTATCGATGTGCGTAAACGAAAAAACGATACACGAAGAAAACAGTATACATTAAATATAAAGACCTGTATAAGAAAAGAATGAGTAAAAATGTACAATCAAATGTTTATCATATTTTCTATCTTATTTATTTTGTGTTAAATAAACCTATCAAATGAAACAATAATTAAGATACAAATCCTAATCATTCTAATGGCTTGTATGATTTTTTGTATTAATAAAAATAGATTAATTGTACTAGTATAAACAGTAAAACATTTTTCAGTCATTTTTGATAGGACTTTTCTAACAAAATTACATGATAAATGTTATATTTATGATTTATTTTATATGTTGTGGTTTATTCCAACTTTCTATAAACAAATTAGGGAAGTCATTCAAGCGTAATATTTCAATGTGTTTGCAAGCATATGCAATATTTACAATATTACCTATATAGATAGAGACATAGTATGATTGCATACAATACATACTTTTTGTTTTGTCTTTTCTATTTTGCATCAATCTATTAGAAAAAAAAAGAAATCGAATATCAAAATTTCATTTGCAAACTAATCATATTTTATTATTTGCCATTGGTGATCATGCTAATAAATCATGATAAAACCAAAATAATATAAATATTTGTGGTCATTTGATCAATATGAAAACAAGAAAAATATACATGAATTAATAATACTCGTTTTTTTCAAATTATTTACACTCAATAATATTAGATCATTTAGTTATTCATCAATGACATAGAATATTTGAGTATGATCAATTTTAACAAGATATTTATTTTGAAAGTCGTTCGTATTCCATACTTGAATATATAGAGGAAGGTGTTATATTGTTCCCAACAACGAATGAGTGTCAAAAGATGACCATTGAGACTGTGCAATATTTTAAACACCATCAAAGGTCCAACACATATAATTTACAGTCAATATTAAACGTACTAGGTAACAAAAACCATCAACAACAAAATGCATGCATGACATGACCTTAAGGGTACCCTCGCTCTTGCCTTCTCGGAGTTTCTAAAGAATGAATCATCAGAAAAATTTGAAATTTTCTGTATCAAAATGACGAATATTGACTCCCATGTTCGTTCACGTTTTTCTAAGACACTATGTTAGATCGAATTGAAATTTTTTTATCAAATACTAGATACTGCTTGGGGTAGATGGCTTGTTATTCTTTGTCCTTCGAATAATAAAATTAAAATCTCGAAGATATTTTAAAAACACCTGACTTTTTAAAACAAAGAAAAATACCCATTTAAAACAGGATGCAATATAGGTAAAAAAAACTTCAGCTCGATCAAACATATTAGGTCATACAAATAAGGATACTTTTGCACTTTTTTTCCGCATGAAAAGCGTGGTGTGAAGAAGAAAATGCGAAACAATGTACATTTTTTGTTATTTTCATTATATAAACTTGGTTGTACACAGTAGATAAATACTACTTTAGACCATAAAATAGCTACAAAAAAAACCCAAAATTTTAGATCCCAAAAAGAGAATGAGAACCTCTCCAACGTCCACATTCAAGAGTGAACCTTGGCTCAAGTAAATTCGTATCATATGGAATTTTCACATTACGTTGAAGCTATGATAGAAATTTTTGTTTGAAGAAGTATGTCATGATACAAGGCATGACAAAGCAATTTTTCTTCGAAATTCACAATGTGAGTTCTAAAAAAGTATAAAATCATCTGTTATAAGAAGAAATTTGGTTCTTTAGACAAACAGCCATAAAAAAATAGTAAAATTATCATTGAAAGATCCACCATATCTAATAATAATTCTTATTTTCTTTGAACCTAATGAATAACGAAACATATAAATTAATAATTGTATATTGGTCACTTGTTCATCATCAACATGTATGATAAATTGTTATGGTATAAATACTAGATCATAACTAAAATAATTCATACAACGATAATCAATTTTATTAAACCATGTTAGAAATAATTGTTCTACTGTATCAATTGTATTTGTATGTCGTACAATAAGTTTAGTAAAAAAAATAACGACGAGAGTACTGTAATTCTTCATAAAAAGATTTAAGAAACTTTCTTTCTAAATAATTTAATAGAGAAAAGAATGCTCTATTTGTCTATGCTATGTGATCATATTTCAACTAATATCATAAGAATAAAATTTCAATAAGAATTGTCTTTGCTGAAAACTAGCTGGTAGCATTAGATTATAACGGATGGGACACTTTTGCATTTCAATTTGTTATCACGTAATACATTGTATTAAAAGAACAAAGTAAACCATAAGATGCAGCGTGAAAAGCTGTACAATTTATAAAGTTTTGTCTTGGTAAAAGACGAATTAGCGTCAAAATTTGGTTGCTCAAAGTTTTGTCCATTTTGAAAACACCAAGTGCAATTATCAAAAAAGCGATCCTTTACAAATTGTACAACTTTTCACGCCGCATCTTATAGTGTACTTTGTTTTTATAGTATCACGTATTAGATGGTAACAAATTGACATGCCCAAGTGTTCCATCCGTTATAATCTAATACTATCAGCTAGTTTTCAGCAAAAACAGTTCTTATCGAAATATTATTCTTATAATATTAGTTGAAGTATAATCACATAGCATAGAAAAATAGAGCATTCTTTTCTCTATCACATTATTTAGAAAGAAAGTTTCTTAAATCTTTTCATAAAGAATACAGTACATCCGTCACTATTTTTGGTATAGCCTAAGTATTAGTCAAGCACAAGTAAAAATAGTTTATCTTAAATATTATTAATAATTTAATCTTTGGCTTAAGCTATTCCAAGTGCTTTGAATGGACGTGCTTTCATTGATATAGCCAAATCAGGTAGTGGAAAAGTCAATGCATTTATTTGGTCAGCTATTGTTCATATGATGACTCAAGTAATTTGGGCTTTATGTTACGTTTTAAATAAAAATTAATTTTTCTGTTCGAATAGATAAAACATCAAGTTGATGATATCACTATTGTCTTAATCTGTGCTCCTCAACGTGAATTAGCTGAACAACTTCATCTTGAATATAAACAATATGAAAAACCACGTAATATTAATTCTGTAGGTGCATTTGATAGTGGAAATATGCATGAACAAATAATGTCTTGTCACAAAGAATGTGAAATACTTGTTTGTGCACCTGTAAGGAAAAACAAAAAAAAACTTTTTCAATGAAAGCCTACTTTTCTGTATTTATTAGGATAGTCTTATTGATTTAATTAAGAGAAAACGGTAGAAGTTCACAACGTGTTACATATTTAGTTTTTGATGAAGTTGATCAAATGTTTGATATGGATTTTGTAAGTTTTATTTTATTAGATACATTAATTTCTATTGAATAAAATTATAAAAGGAAACCACAAGTTCGTTCAATTGCTGATCGTGTAAATTCTGATCAACAACGCTTATTGCTTAGTGCAACATTTAATAAAAACGTCAAAAAAATTAGGCTCGATTTTGTTTTTCATATTAAAATTATTTCTTCTTACTACTGTTCTTTATTTAGAACGAAATATTCTTACGGATCGTGTTCCAATTGTTCAAGGTGAAGTTAGCGAAGGTAGTTCAATTCTAAAGATAAAATGTTGATTAATTTTCTTAAATAACCAAATCAAGATGTTCATCCAAATAATGGAAGTAACAGGGTAGAGCTTTTATTTAAACTTGTTGAATTTACTATGTGTAAATACTTGTTCAATTTTATCTTTAAAATTAATGTTTTTATTATTCTATAGGAAAAGTTCTAATATTTGTTACACATAAAGATAATTTTACTGATAAATATTTTCAAACGAAATAAAAAGAATTTCCATATGAATAATTTTTACTTTAGCTGGCCTTATTCATGGTGATATACTACAATCTAATCTTGTTAACACAAACGGATAAAGAAGTTGCACCAAGTCTTGTAAGAGATTTAGAAATGCTAATCAAGCTGTTCCACAACACTTTATATGACCATCCAAATCAGTCCATAGTAAATTTGAAGATAACGTGGATTTATATATACATGTATAGATTTGCATATTTAGAATAATAATTTTGCTAATGGGCG